GACGAAAATAGCGGAATTCTACACGACATCGAAGTGTGCCAGTTGTTTCCATTTTCCTCTGGCCCGTGGCCGTCGAGGCCGGTCGCAGACTCGGCTCCCGGCAACGGTCGCGACTCGAATACGCGCCGTCGTCAAGTGCGTTGGACCGTGGTACAGGCTGGGCAGATGCGATGTCCGCGCGATCTTGACCAACTCGACCGAGTCTGCCTCGAGGCTGGCGTCCTGAAAAGTTGCTACTGCTCAGGTGTGTTGATGATTCTGCATGTCAACGGAGTTGTCGAGCTTTATGCGAATCCAGTTCTATGCGATGTAGTCATCCGGTCTCGTTGAAGGTGATGAAGGACCGGTAGTTGCATTTTCCTACACTCACATGTGCAGTTTGCATAGCCCTGCCTTTACAAAATATGAAGAGGTGGACTGCAGCCTCGACCTCGTCTCAACTCGTCTCATCAGCATCCCCAGCAGGACTCGAACCATGACTCTGCAGTGCGTAATCTCGACAAGTTGACCCTTTGGTCACAGGACAGATGTCACTTTTAAGGAAGGCCAGGCATTTTTTCATATCACATGCCTCGGTAGAATTGTCGTGGAGGCAAAGTTATATTTGTTATAACAATCGACTATATTACTTATTAGAGTAGAGTTTCGAGACTACTAGTAAATCAGTAGTATGAGATGAATTCATCCAATTTCGTCTAAGATCCTGAAGGATTTGTAGTAGAATTTTCCTAAAATAATATGAGTTGAGTTGACGTTTCTATTGCATTTCACATAGCCTTGATTTCCAAAAAAAGAAGTGGACTGCAGTTTCGACCTCGCATCGGGAAAATCCTACCACCAGTCCTTCATCACGTTAGACGAAATTGAGTGAATACATCTCATATTACTTATTTTTCGTTTATAGGTAGGGTTTCGAGTCTACCGATGATTCAGTTATATGCTAACTCGTTCTTCAGTGTGCAGGTACTACAGCTGTGCTATGGTATCAATCATCGCCGTGACTACTGGAGTAGCTCAATAGAATGTCAATCTCGATTGATACTCGTAAATAATGGTGGTACATGTTGCAAAAAGGATAATGTTATCATACATTTCGTTTCGCCTGAAAACGCGTACGGGGTTAATTCGTAGGTTGGCCTCGCAGAAATTCAAATTCGAGTAACTTTTAGTTGTCGCCTAAACTCCTCAACCGTTGCGATGATGCGCTGCTCAACTTTCGTTCATCCCATTCAGTTTCACATTGTCAATTCCAGTAAATCCGTATTTTGCGTTTGTTTTTAATTGCGGTTAATGATGCATATTGGTTAAGACGATGTCTTCCACGAGCTGGGACTGATGAACGCTCAACATGGATTCATCGGGTTCGTAGGACGATGTGCACAGAACTGGTGG